TCTTAACCACTGAGCCATCTCTCCAGTCACAACCCCTCCTAGCAGCATCTTAGAGGATCCCAAAGAGTCTTTTTGATTCAGCTACTCATTCAACCTGGCCCCCTTTACACCTTCTGTGTACCCAACATGGGAGACAAGACTGAGTCCTCTGAGGTACTAGGGTTCTTCCCATTCTACAGGAGAGACCACTGAAGTCCAGGATCAACCCCTATCTGTCACTGGACAATTGGTCAGTCAAGGAAAGGAACGAGATAAAACTCAAAGGCCTTATCTTCTTGGGTTGGTTCAAGGGCTTGTAATACGTGCTTCCCTTGTGACTTCATCAGCTCCCGTCTGAAGTCAGCCTCCACGTCCTGCTCCAGCTGTGGCCAAAAGACAGGGAGAGCTGCCCACCAGCGGGCACATACATACCTATGGTACCAAGTCTCCAGTTTTTCCCAAGGGTGCCAACAGGGCTCCTGGCAGAAGAAGGGGGAGGGAAGCCCGGAAGATACAGACTGTGCATGCAAATGAGGCAGCTGCATAATTAATTAACATCGAACAGTTTCATTAGGAGACGGAGCTTTGCGGCTGTTTGTCTTCAAGGAATAAAAAAAGGTGCAAGAGCAGGAAGGGTTCAGGGAACAGGAGGGAGTAAGAACTGTTCAAGCCTAACTCTGAAGCTAGCGGTGCTGCTCACCACTGCTGCTGGGGACAAGGCTGCTAGGAGAGCGTGCCTGGGGTGGCTTCGGTCCCCAAACTTAGAATAATGGGTTTTCCTGGAGATCTTCACAGAGATGATGAGTCCTTAATGATTGCCACTTGAATTGCTCGAGCTACCTCTGCTTGGGCCACACACCCAGGTGCTTTGGTAGGGGAGGAGAGGGGCACCCCCAAGAGCAGCGTGAGACAGCCTCCTAGAGCAGTGAGCTCTAGTGTCTATCTGAGCCTTTGACTTTCTGGAGGGACCAGTCAGTCCCCTCCATAGCCCTGAGAGCAGAGCACAGGCCTTGATTCCAGAATGGTCTCTAAACACTGAGGGACAGAAAAGAACGCTAGGGAAACAAAACCAAACCAGATGCGACCTCTCCTGCTCCCGCGTCCCTCCCTCAACGTCTATTGTTTTTTATAAAACTGGGGGAGGAAAGCAGGAGGTTGGGTAGCTCCTCGCTAAGCCTTCTGGGAGCCCCCATGGGTACCAGCCATGGGGCATGCCTCCCCTCAAGCCCATCCTACTTCTTCCCCGCTGCTGTGATAAACACCAACCAAAACCGGCTGGCGGGAACGGGTTTTGGCTTAAACTCCTACTTCAGTCCATCAGTCAGAGAAGCTGGGGCAGGAACTCAAAGCAGGTACCAGGAAGCAGGAACTGAAGCAGAAGCCAAGGAAAACCACTCTACTGGCTTTCTCCCCGTGACTTGCTCTGTTTGCTTTCTTGTAACCACAAGAACATGAGTAGACAGGAGAGAAAGGGACCCTCGCTAGGGAACCAACACAGGTACGTCCTATCAGGAAGTCACCTGAACAGATGAATAGCGTGGAGCTCTCCATTGTCCCAGAAGCTGAAGCCGCTAAGAGGACCCAGGTGCCTCTAGACTTCTGTGGCCCATCAACGCGTCCTTCACACGGCCTCACATCCCAGCTCAGGCAGCGTCTCCCCTCTAGCAGGAACCACGCACACGACAGTCGCAGCTCTGCCGAAACAAGAGCCCCTTCTCCAAACCTTTTGGCCTTTGTGTTCCAGCTTTCCCAGGATGGCAGAGAATACCCACCCCAGTTAACATAGTTATTACCAGCTGATTGCCTTGTAATTAAAATACAGCAACAGGCACGTGGACATTTTTGGCCTCCCATCCCTGGGGGACAGAGGAAACAGGACTCCTGTCTACTTACATGGCCCTGCTCCAATCAGGTTTTCGCTCTCCACATGCCCATACACACACACACACACACACACACACACACACACACTCACACACTCACACACTCACACACACGTACGTACGTACGTCTTGGGGGATATTTGGGACTAAACCAAACCCAAGGAGCAAGCTGCCCACAATCCCACGGACACTACAGAGAAATTCAGTGACAGTGGAAGACAGATTTATTTCGTGTTTGAAAGTGTGTAACTGGGAGAGGCACAAATCCCAGGCCTGATACCACCTATTTTATGGATTTTTACTCCACTGTAGTGTTATTCCACAATAAAGCATAGCTAACATATGTCAGCTTGTGAATTTTTATCCCAAGTTCACTGCCACTAGAGAGGCACCGTGGTCAGGCTTTATGTTTCTTCCCCGTTCACCTCCCTTGGTCCATCCCTGACTGAGGAGTAGTTAGAGTGAAACTTACCCTTAGGAGCCATGGTAACCCAGCACCCACCACTCCTGAGGGGACTATACCAGCTGTCATCTCTCCTTTTCCCTTGGATGTCACCTCCTGGGTGGAAGTCCAATGTCACCCTACACCCTCACATACACGTCACTGAGGTGCCAGATCCTGCCTTCTTTCCTGTCCTCTCTCCTTTGATGGTCACAGCTTGGGTCTTTCTTGCAGAAGGCTGTAACAGCCTCTGGGTGGAGACCCCACCTCCAACTTCAGCCATCTTCACAGTGAGGCTGATGGGAGCTTTCTAAAACAATTCTAATCATTCCTTTCCCTAACGTGAAGTCCTTTCTTTTCTGCTCAGGTCGCTCAGCATAGGACCAGACTCTCCCAGGATAAAGCATCGGCCCTGTTACTCCCCAGCGGAGCCTTCTCCAGCCCCTTGACCATCTCCAGACTTCATTATTCTTTCACTCCTGGGCCTCAGCATGTGCCATTCCTGCATCTCTTTCCCAATGCCCTCAAGGTCCTGGACACCATCTACAGTTTGCACCCCTAGCGAGCACTCAGTACAGAGAAGTGAGACCTGATTAGCAAACAGATGGATGAAAATGAGGAAAGGGAAGCGGGGGGGGGGGGGGAGCCCATGAAATTGCAGAATCTTCCCCACGGTGTGTATTTACCTGTGGTGCTTCAGTTCAAACGGGGGGCCTTGCACAGGCTAGGCAAATCCCTGGGTTGCCTCCCCAGCCCAAATCTTGTAAAAAGGAACAAACCCAAAGAGGTGAGGCAGCTTGACCTAGGTCTCACAGAGATTGTCCCAAATCCCGTCACCCTCAGGTGCCTCAGAAGAGCCCAGAAAGATGCAAGACAGAAGTCAAGAACAGAATGAGAAGCCAGGGTGAGTCAGAGATAGGGGTTTGCACCCTAGCTGAGTGCAGAGAGAGGGTTTGATGTCAACAGCCGTTCACACAGACCCACCCCCATCTGCCAGAGGTCAGGGAACCAGACCCTGGCAGGAGGAAGCTGTGACTGGTAGGTAAATGTTTTCAATAAGAATATGTCAGCGGGACTGGTAGGGTGGCTCGGCCAGCAAAGAGCTTGTCTTGTAAACACAAAGACCTGAGTTCAATCCCCGGAATCTAAATCACTAAGCATGGTGGTGGTGGTGGTGGTGGTGGGTGTGTAATCCCAGTGCAAAAGAGAGCAAAAGGAGGGTCTTAGGGCTTGGTTGGCCAGTCTGTCTAGCTTAACTGTAAATTCCGGGTCAATGAAAGACACTATCTCAAAGGAGGAGGACGACTTTTCTGAGGTGACACCAAGATCGTCCTCCAGCCTCCACACACATGCATCCATGTGCAGACATGTACACACACACACGTACACACATGCACTTGGGGATGCCCTATGACCGTTCACAGGAAGTACCTGTTAGCTGGACTAGGATAGTCCCACCATTCCTCAATTCCTAAGCCGAGGAGCCTCTTAACTTTCACTCCCGACCCAGACCTGAGGGTCTAAGGACAGGTGGTCGGTGGTCAGCACAGGGAAAAGCGGCAAGATTGCTTTGCACAGTGTCTGCCCTTCATAGTGGCCGGTCTTTCTTCCTTTCCCTGCTCAGCTGGCTCCAGCGGGGACCCCAGGGCAGGGAGGAAGAACTGGAGAGGGAATGAGGAACCAGAAGACAGCTGGGGTACTGGCCACATACTCCCCAACCCTGGCAACACAAACCCCATCATTGGGTGCTAATTAAATCCCCCTAATGAGGAAAAACGGATGCAGGAGCCGGTTCCTCCATGGCCTCCCCGGCCCACCGCCCTCACTTCTCCATCGGACTTATCGCTCGTCACAGGATGTTTACAATAATTTTTAATTTGTGCAATTATTAATCACTTTTCTATCTGCCTCATTTGCATAATAATTAGTCATCTCACTGTTTGGCATGCCTGTGAATGACAGTGTTTTAAATTGAATTAAGATTTTAATATTCTATTTTCCTGCTTTCTTCCCCTCCACACGCTAATCAAAGTCAGATTTGGCAGCCGAAGGGAGGGTATGGAGGAGGTTGGCAGGCGCTGGACTTGGCCCCGTTCTGTGCTCCTGAGAACCGTGCTGGGAGCAGGGCCTGTGGAGAAGGCAATAAGCAATCACTCCCATCCAAACCTGACGCTGAAGGGGTTAACCCAGCCGTGGCTAATTGAGAGGAGGTAATGAGTGAGGAGTGGGCAGGGACAGCAGGGAGGGAGGAGGGTCACGCAGTCTCAGCGGCACCAGAGATCAAGAAAACTGCTTTCATTTATTTTCCCTTTCCAAACAGGCAGCTTTTTGTACTAGAGGGGACGTGATCGGCCAGCCATTGATCCCCGGTTAGTCTAGGTTAACTTTGATGGTTCCAAGTCCTACAGGTAGAGAAGCAGACGGAAGCAACCTGAGACCCAGTCACTGCATTTTCTTCAATGTACAAGGAAGGCAATTCTCCGGCTCTTCTCCCGCTTCTCCACACACCAACAGGTCCTCTGCCTAAGCTGGGTGTCTCATGGATGAGTAACAGGGAGTGAGGGATTTCCACTGACAGGGGGCAGCAGGTGAGCCACATGTCCTCTAAGTTAGGGGCAACCGCAGGTCTACAGATCCCTTTGTGATCCTAAGTCCTTCTAACCACGCCCGGAATTCAGCCTCAGCCTGGAGGAGGGCCTGCTCCTTCCCTGCCTCCCTTTGGAACTGCTGGATTGCCTCTCACGTTTCCATGGTGATCCCTATGGCTACCCGGGCTACCCATTGCTGCTCCAGAATTCTCTACTTGAGCAGAGCAGCTCTCCCCTCAGCCTATTTAGAACACCTCCCTTTTTTACTATGGTGTGCTTGAGATCTGCAAAACCCAACGCTGGCCAGTCCACACAGGTGAGTCAGGGCAGAAAAGGGCTCCCTGAGACAGGTTCTGGGCAAACGATACAAAGTCAGGTCATCTGTCACAGCCAAGAGACTGGAAACAACACTCAAACTCAGCCACCAAGCTTCCCCCTCACACACACCGAACAAAGTCTTTCAACCCTGCATGTGGGTACCAAGAGAAGGGAAAGTCCCCAAGAAGGGGAAGAAGGAAAGAGGGTCTTGCCAGAAGGAGGGGTAGGCAAGAAGAAAGCAGTCTGGCAATTTGTTGGTACCCTTCTCCTCCAAGTGGCTCTGAAGTCCCTACCTTCAGTCACTGACTCAGGTCAGGCAGAAGGGCAGCCATATTTGGCTCCCCTTTGGCTCAGGAGGCTCCTGAGCACACTTGCCCTCCTACTAGTTTCTACAAATCCACCAGGAAGGCACTGGCCTCAGAGCTGGTCAATCTAGGAGCCCACATGCCTTGTGTCTAACCAGAGGGATAGCAACAAGAACCGTCAGGATTTAGGAAAGGCACAGCCGAGTCCAGGATTGACAGAAAGCTATGAAAAGCCAGGCCTGGGGCCAAATCAGGTGAAGCACTCAGTCCCTTAGCCCCAGACAGAGTAAGAAAAGCAGGCACGGGTAAGCCAGCACATCACTCGATACATCAGCACCAAGTGAAGCCCAGACTTGTATGTAGTCAGTTCTAACCAGTAGAACCCTGTTTCTGTATCGTCACACCCTGGAAAGAGAAGCTTTTAGAAGTAGCAAGGCCCATAACTAGTGTTGCAGCAGCCTCTGCTGGCCACCTTTGCCTTCCACACCACACCTAGATGCAGAGGCCAGGAGCCCACCATCCGTTGTGTTTGAGGTGGTCTTGCTGACATTATTAATGCTGTGCACTCACTCTCAGAAATATCTGGGTTCACACATGACTCAGGAACCTTCAGTCACAGCCAAGTTCCGGGTACCAGAGAGCCTTCAAGAACCTAGAGAGATAGGTGGGACTTTAAGATCTGACCCCAGAGGTAGAGCATCTCTCTCATTAGCAACACAGGAGTAAATAGTTCAGAGTCCTCTATCCTGGGTCAGGGCTAAGGCTTCTTGACAGCCCCGCCCTGGAGAAGCAGTAACGCACATGTGTGTTGAGTAGGAAGGAGAAAGATGTGAAGAAGAGCAGAAAGAGGGTAAAGGGGACAAGACTGACACAGCCAAAGGAAGCGCCCAAAGGTGTGACATGCTATTGACGCATGTGTCCAGCAGATGGCAACACGGAGCAGCCTGCATCAGCCCATCCAAGGGACTGCCTGGGCCAGCATCAGGCTTCTGACCTCCTGCAGAGCTTTTCCTTTGGTTTGGTTTTTAGTCCACTTTCCCCCACCTGAGTCCTTAGGCTACACTATAAAATTGCTTAAGAAGACATTTCACAAGCCCCAAGCCTTCCCTCCCCAAGAAAGTGGAAGAAAGGCCAGGCCTGTTAGGTCCAAGACAGCAAGATTCCTGGAGCCCTATCTGGCACCAGTGCCTGGGTGACCGAAGGCTCCCAGGGAACCCTTTCTCCCTCACCCACCTGTCAGGGATTTTGAGTACAGAAGTAAAGACTGGTGTGATTTCGGGGAATGTCTCCATGTTCTGTCATTCAGAAAAAATCCCGCAAATTATCAGCATGATAATGAACAATATCCACTTGGCACGAGGATCGCGGTGTTTGAGGAGCAGCGACCACAGCCCCTACCCCACAGAGAGAAGAGAGAACCTGGGCTGCCTCAGACACGCTTCCCTGCATTGCACCTTCTTCTGAGGACAGTCCCCCAGTGGCCAGACTAGGGGAAGTCCCAGAAGGCACCCCCTGCCTACACAAGCATATGACTACAGGCTGGGTGGCTGTCCTAGTGCCCCAGTTCCAGACCACCTAGCTCACTACCCTTCCAAGATGCCCTAGGCACGTGGCTGGAGGGGAAAAAATGGAGTCTTACATTCCCCAGGCAGGAGAGGATTCTCAAGAAAATAAATAATAAAGATCTCCAAATCCCCAGAAGATTTGATGCCTTAAAAACGTAGTCAATCCACATTTGCGCTTCATTCATGAACCAGTCGCTAAGTCTGAAAGCTTACACATGCTGGTTCGTTGGTTTTGAAAAAGGGTCCTTGCTTTATACTGAAGGTTGGTCTCAAATTCACAATGTTAACCCCAGCTGGCCTCACACTCCTACTGATCCTCCTGCCTCAGCCTCCTAAGTTGCAGAGATTATAAGCAGGGGCCACCACACCTAGGCTGCAAGCTTGCTCTTGCCCAGTTCTTACCTACGAAGAAATCTTACCCTAGCCTCCAGTTGAATTCGACAAATATTTATTAAATGTCTTGTACAGGCCAGGCTTTGTGCTGGCGGCTGGGGATTGTGGCCTCTATCTTTAATAAACTCTTAAGTCCAGCAGGCAGAGGAAAACATGGAGTTCAGTGTACTACAGAGACCTCTGCTAGAGTTGGGCGCGTAGCTCATCATGCGACATCATGAGATTGAGCCCCTGCTGCCACTGTGTTAGCAACAAGGGACTAGGAGACTCTCCACGAAGGAAATGACATTTGAGCAGGATGGGTTCAGGAAGGAGGGGGAGGAAGGAAGGGGAAAGTAGATCCTGGAAGTGATGCTCAGCCATGGTGTGCAGTCCAGGGGTGTCAGGAAGAAGTGGGAAAGCCAGGAGGCTGTGAAGGCTCTAGAGAGAAGGCTGAAGACACTGGATGTGTCCTGTATACATGCGGCTTCATCCGGCTTTATCCAGAATCTACTGTACACAGGACAGTCCTGACCTCAGCCATCCCTGCCAGTGTCAGCAAGCATACTTCTTCCCCATGAAAAACCAGACTCCCTGCCTCTGGGCCTGGCGAAGCCACTCCGTAAACGTCTGCTTGGAAAATTCCATGTGCTAATGAGGCAGTTATCTGAGCCACGGCTCACAGGCCCATCAGTTAGCCTGGATAACTGGATCTCCTCTAAGGGGCTGCAGAGCAAAGCTCTGAATGCACTCTGGCCTCCCCCACCTCCCCGCCCCACCCCGGAGTTCCCACCCAGCTGATTATGAACCCAAGGACCTCACAATCCCCAAATAGGATAAATGTTGCCTTCAGAGTCTCGTGAAGCTCGGGAAAGACCTGATCAGAGAGTAGATCCTGTGCCAAGAACACCAAAAATTTCTTAGGTAGAACTGAGTGACAGGGCCCCTCTGTAGCCCTGGCATGCTGGGCATTGCCTATTGCCCCAAGTGGCTGCTTGAATGGTGTCTTTGTCACACTTTTTCTTTAATTCACAAGGAGACTTCCAAACTGTGACTCCAAAGCCGAGAGCTGGCCGGGCACAGTGGCTCCTGCCTGTAATCTTAGCATGTGGTAGGGAAGCAAGAGGATCAGGGGGTTCGAGAGCATTTTTGGCTAGATGGCAAGTTCAAGGCCAGGTGAAGGCCCCTGTTGTCAAGCCTGAAAACCTGAATTCCATACCTGAGACCCACATGGTGGAGGCATAGAACTGATTCTCATAAGTTGTCCTCTGACCACACATATTATCAGTGTCTGTTACACACACACACACACACACACACACACACACACATACACTATAAATTTTTTTTAAAAAAACACTAATTAAATTAGGAGCAGGGGGGTAGACAACAGAGCCACATGCCTTTAATCCCTAATCCCAGCACTGGGGAGGCAGAAGGCAAGCAGATTTCTGTGTGTTCAAGACCAGCCTGGTCTACAGAGCAAGTTCCAAGACAGCCGGGGCTACACAGAGAGACCCTGTTCTCTGGCGGGGGGGGGGGCGGGGGGACAATAATATTTAAAAAAAATAAAATAAAAAAACAAATTAGGGGCAGGCAATATAACCCAGCAGGTAAAGTGTTTGCTGTAAAGGACCGACTAGCAGAGTTTGATCCCTGGAGCCCACATAATGGTGGAAGAAGAAAACAAACCAAACGCAACTGTCCTCAGACCTCCACACATGTGTCTTGGCATGCATGTTCCATATCACACACACACATGCACAATAATGATAAATCAAATTTAAATTTTAAAAATAATGACTAAACTCTGCCACAGTGGGGGGTTTCACAGAACATACTCTGATCAAGGCCCTTTGAGCTTGCAGCCATGCTGGTTCACAATGGAGTCACAAAAGCCTTAGCTCAGCTAGGAAATCCTACTGAGAAAGAGTTAGTCCATTCTATAAGCCTTGGGATGGATAATTCAGACAAATGGTGAAGCCACGGGGAACGACAATTGAAAACGGCTAGTGTTGCTCCAGAATGAAATAGACGTCTGTCCCAAGAGGGGTGACAGAGTGGAGAGCGCTCAGATGTGGAGGGTGGCCCTGGGGGCAGCGTGAGGGCTCACGGCTGGACGCCCTCCCCAGCTCTGCATCTACGATTAATGTCATTATCTCTGGGAACCCATGCACCAGAGGGGGACACTTGGAGCCAGGAAGGAAGAAGAAACGCGTGAATGGATGGGAAAGGCGGCGTGAACAGGAGTCTAGAGTCTTCTTCCAGCTTCAAGGTTCCTATTTTGTGACTGCAGGTTCTGAAAAGGAGCCAGCCGCTGGCAAACCTACACAGCTGGCAGAATGCAGCTCAACCCTCTGTCTTGGGACACCTGGTAGGTGTGCAAGGTGGGCTGGAGGGGAAATGAGGACAGGAAAGTCATCTGAGGGGTCAGGGTTTAAGTATGCTGTACACCCTCCCCCCCCATACACACACTGGACAATCATACACATGCATGCGTATTTCACAACATATGCACACAGGCTCACGCCCACACATGTGCACTGAATGGACACATACACACATATGCATACATACCTCATGTCAACAGAGACTCACAGCTGGACTTGAGGTTAGTAACCGAGACAAAGACGAAGCAACTTTCAGGCCTGATTATTTCCACAATCACCCATTCCCCTAGATGCTGGTGGCAACAGTCTATTATTGGGGACACAGCTGCCTCCTGCTACTCTCCACGGCCTCCACATCTAGAGAAGGTTCATGGTAGCCTAAGACACTAACCTCGGAGCAAATGCCATTGTGTCATTCAGGAGCTGGGGAACAGAGGGCAGCCATCACGTGTGCCCTGTGACTGTGGGTAGCTGTCCTTTGACCGTCTCTACCTGACATCCACCTCTTCAACCCTTCTTTAGTTCCAAAGTTTCTTTCCTCCCCCTGCATGCTTCCCTCCCTTCAATGCTAGCAGAGAAGGACACAGGTTTTTGTCCTGTCCCCATAGACCTCTCATTATTAGGCCCCTGCTCCAACTGCAGCTGCCCACACCCTGGCAGGTAAGCGCCTAAAGTCTGGTGGATATTCTCACGCTCGCCCTTTCTGCGATACCCACCGGTCAAAATGCCCCTTTCTTTCCCAGATAAAAGTTGTCTGTCTTTTGCCAGGCTCCCTTGACCCTCAGACACCTGGCCTTCCTCTTGGTCTGATACCTGACCACAAAAATCAGCTCACAGACCCATCTTTCCTTTTTGTTCCTCTGGAGCTAGAATGCCCTTGTCAAGGTCCCAGAATATAGACTTGCAACTTTGATGAGAGCAAGGAACATCATCCCTGATGTGGCTCCCCTAGTTATTATGTTTCTAGACACTCTCCTTTCTCTGCCCCTTAGGAGACACGGACACCACGGTGCCTGCCCCACGCCCATTGAAAGGGATCATCCCTTGACTCTCCAGGACCCTACTGCCAACTGTTTTTACTGTAAGCCACCCATTCTCAACAGCCACCGTATTCAAAGCCAAAAGAAAGAACCAGAACAACCCTGGAATGTTTAAGAACAACTGCTTTTGCAGTTTGAGGTGTAGCTCGGTTTTTGGAGCCATTTCCTAGCGTGCACAAAGCACCGGGTTACATTTACTGATTAAACGGGGTGTGGGGTGCATGCTTGTAATCCCACCACTTGGGAGGTGGAAAGCTGGGAGATCAGAAGCGCAAAGCTGTCTTTTGCTATGTAAGGAATTCTTGACTAACCTGAGCTGCATATGGCTCTCTCAAAAGAAAATGACAAAGGGAAGAAGGAAAGAAGGGAAGAATGGAGGAAGGGAGAAAGCTGCCCACAGGTAGGAGGGCTAAGATGGTCCTTAGTTCTTCTCCCTACTCTAGACATTCTCTCTCCTGAGAACAGAAGCTCCTACCTGCTTGACAACTCTTCCAATTCCATCCAGCCAGAGTCCCTGGCTGCCCCCATGAGACTGGAGGATAGTGCCCCCGGTGTTCAGGTAAAGTTAAGCACTCCAATCAAGCCCCAACTCATGTCACCAAGGCAGCATCGTCTAAAAAGATCACAACCATTTAAAAGGACCATTATGCACTTACTACATGCTAAGCACGAGACTAAGTCCTTAGTTCGGATCTTCTCAGGAACCCAGAAAGGGGTCTATTTGCAGGTAAGAACATTGCAGCAGCCCAGACAAGTAACTTTAAAAAAAAAAAAAAAGTATTTATTATATATACAGTATTCAGCCTGCATGTATGCCCTCAGGCCAGAAGAGGGCACCAGATCTCATTACAGATGGTTGTGAGTCACCATGTGGTTGCTGGGAATTGAACTCAGGACCTTTGGAAGAGCAGCCAGTGCTCTTAAACTCTGAGCCATCTCTCCAGCCCCAAGACAAGTAACTTTCTAGTCAACACTGACAAATGTTTACTCTAGGAGACTAAGATCTCCCCACCCCACCCCCACACATACTCTCTTTCCCTACTTAACCCCAGCAATGACCCCTCTGACCAAGTAAATTTCCCAGCAGAAGCATCAACAGCCTGAGGTTGCTCTCCAGAGGCTGGAAGGGAAGGAAATCGCCCCAACAGATGTTAAATACCGCTTGCAGCTGCTCGAAGAGGCTCCATCCCAGAGAAACAGCTCAAATGGACAAGGCCAGCACCACAAGCCGGGATGGATCCCATTCAGCAAATCCCACAGAGAATGGTTCAAGCCCTGGAAGATGGAAGATGTGGCATATCACAGGGACGAGCCCTCCCATTCAGGTGAAAGCGTTAAGAAGGAGTGGAGGATGACGTTAAACATAAAGCAAAATGTGAACCCTTGTTCGCAAACACCTTGTTGAGTCCTATCCCGGCCCCCAGACTAGTCACAGTGGAATACAGTACTGGGCAAAAGCTTGGTTTGGCAGCAGCCCTTCAGGCATTGTCTGGCTACAAGGTCAGCCAGGACCACTCTGGAAGGTGTCACACCGCCTACCACATCACAGCCTTCCCTCCTCCCTCCTTTGGCTGGGCCTGATGACAGTCCTGCAGGCCAGACTTTCAAAGCAAAGAGATGGACTGAGGCTGGGAGGTAGCTTAGTCCCCCGTGTGCCTGTCTTACAGGCACAAAGCCCTGGGTTTGAGATCCATTATTGTATGGTGCAGGCACGGTGGTACACACCCATAATCCCATCACTTGCGAGGTAGGAGCCAGAAGATCAGAAGTTCAAGGCCATCCTCAGCTCCCTATGTAATCCTTCCAGGTCACATGCAGGGCAGAAGAACAGCACCAAGAGGACACCAGAGCCACATGGAGTATGTCAGCCAGGACCAGAGTAACACCCAAGTTCCAATGTGGAGTCAAGCCCTCTCACTTGGTCTAGACAAGAGCAGTCAGGGGAATGTGTGAGTATCTAGAACTAAGAGCAAGCCTCCAGCAGGGCAGTATGGGTAGGAGAAAGGCAGGGAGGGGTCTGTTTCCCAAGGGTCCAGTAATATTAGAAGTCCACTATCTGTCACCTCAGAAAAACAGTCATCAAGGCGCAGAGCAAAGGGCTCTGTCTTCAGGAATCTTGGACTTCCCTCTAGCTCAGCTTTGACTTTGACCTTTGACTTCACCTGAGATTTGAACAAGGGCAAACTGGTATGGGAGCGAGGGTCCTAAATTCAGGGTCAGCCCCATCCCCTGTGTATTCATGGGAGACATAAAATCCCCACTGCAAACTACGAAGACTCAGGCTTTCCAGCTTCACTGGAGTACAGAGCATCTTTGTCCTGCCCTCTGTCCCCAGACGGCCCTTTAATGCATCCCTACCCAGTTAGGAAGTCCAGCTTGAACCCAGAGACACCACTGTGTGCTTTACAGATGATGTGTTCCTCAGAGTGACCCGTTCATCAGCCTAGTTACACAAAGAGCTATATACCCCGCCAGCAAACAAACGTCCAAGCTCACCAAACGTCACCAAACGTCACTGAACCCCCATTCTCTAAGCTGCGGTCCCTAGTTGCCTGCAAGGCAGTGTTTAGCACGCTCGCTGTGGCCTGTCCTGTGACGGCGGGTGTCTCATCTTCTCTGCTAAGACACAACATGATAACTGAGGGATGTGAAAAATAAACAGATAAAATGAATTTAAATCTTCCTTTCCGGAGAAGCAGTAAAGAAGTTTTCATTTGAAAGGACCCAAAAATATAGTGTTTCATTTAGGCAAACCCACAAATGAAAGACCAGGAGGCAAGCCCAGGGCACAGGGCCCATCTGTTCAGGTCACCTGGATTGGATCAAAGGGAGAGGCAACCAACAGTAGAATCTTGTGTTCTCTATGCAGTCAATCCGCACAGTGTGTGCCAAGGGAAATGGCACCTGGCTGGCCCACGACCCACGCACACCAGGAACTGAGCCAGACAAAGCCTGGGACAGCGAGTATGGGGACAAAGAGCACCGCCAAGTTTGATGAAGCCACAACATCCAGGGTAAAGTGCCCAAGCTTCCCTGTCAAGAGGTAACCAGGGCCGGGGTGGCAGAGTGCTTCCTCAGCGTGCATGAAGCCCCACCCCTGATTTCCAGCACAGTATAAACGGGGCATAGTGGTGCACGAGAGAGTCTCAGCACTTGGAAGGTGCAAGCAGGAGGGTGGGAAGTTCAAGGTCATCCTTGACTAGTACTGACAGTGAATGCTGTCGATCGTTCCCAGATGGCCTGTCTGCCACCTCTCAAACTCCTGCCGAGAAGAGTCCAGAGCAAGTGGCCCCCGCACACACCTGGAATCTTCCAAGGCAAATCCCAAGCCGAAATGACGGGCAAGCACTTCTTCCAGCACTGGAGGGCTCAGCCCCAAGGACACTATAGAAGCAATGAAAAACCCCTGGTAGGAACTACCCAGCAGTTTATGTCAAAAAACAAACAAAGACAAAAAATAAAACTTTTTTTTGTATTCTTCTATTTTTTATGGTTTTGCCTGTTTGCACATCTGTACACCACAAATGTGCCTGGTGCCTGTGGAGGCCAGAAGAGGGCATCAGATCCAAGAGACATTTGTGAGCTGGCAGCCAGTGCTCTTACCCACTGAGTCATCTCTCCAGCCCCATCACCAGGCTTGGTAGTGGGTGACTGTACCCTCTGAGCTAGTATCTCACTCGCCTTCAGAGAGATTTTGAACAAAAATATTTCCCAGTCCTGCTTACTAAGCACTAATGATCCCATTTTTATACCCCATATTTATATTTTTATATATTATTTGATTATTACATGTCTGGGTGTGAGTATGTACATTTGAATGCAGGTGACCTCAAGTGAGAAATGTCTGATCCCCAGGAGTTGAAGTTACAGATGGTTATGTAAGCTATTCAGCTTGGGTGCTGGGAACCAAACTCACGTCCTCCACAAAAGCAGTACCTGCTCTTAACCACTGAGCCATCTCTCCAGCCCCTAGAGATCCCATTTTCACATAAGGCAGAGCAAAAGCATGCTCCTTGTGATTCCTTAACTGACAAATGGCTCAGATTGTGATGTGCAGAGGGCGGGACTTAGTCCTCTATCAGCTGACTGCTCTGTCCTCTCCCATGTGCTGGGTTCGCAGGTGCCATTTGAGGATCAAGTCCACACCAGGCTCACCTACATGCCCTTGTTTACTGGAAGAGTGAAGCTGTATAAGCCCAAAAGCAAATGACATCAAACACAAGACCAACACTTTCTCAACTGAGCAGGAAAAATCAATCAGGTACAAGGGTGAAACCAGTCCTTCCCACACACAGTACCTTAGTCTGTATTGGCAACCAAGGACCGAGTCAGCCGCAGGACAGGTGTGACTCGGCTCTGGCTTGGCCCCATCATCTCCCTGCCTGCTTTTCCAGGACAGCGCCAGAATTTTGGCCTCAAAAAGAGAACATCTGGAGAAAGAGACTGGCTGAATAACCTCTAGGGAAACACCAGAGAAGCTGTGCCTGTAGTCCCAGCACTCAGCTGAGACAAGATTGCTGTAAGTTCCAGGTCAGCTTGGGCTGTAGTGTGAGACTCTGTCATACATGTGTCCCAGGCGTGATAGCACACAACAGCACTTGGGAGGTGGAGGCAGAAAGATCCCTGGAGATCAAAGATCAAAGGAGTTTGAGGATAGCCTGGGCTACATGAAATCCTGTCTTTAAAAAAAAGAAAAAGAAAAACAAGCAAGCAAACAAAAACCCCAAAGATCTCTGAACCACCTTCCTCATCCTAGACTCAGCTCTTAGACCAGTTGCCACCATTCTTACTACCATCCACGTGATGTCTCATGATGCCAGCAGGGCACGGGTGAGTCATGTCTTTGGGAAGGAATGCTGTCCCATGTCTCAGAAGGGCAAGCGTGTTCCAGAAGACCTGAGAGGGAAGGTCAGTAATTTCTCTAATCAATGAGGCCATGGCAAAGCACCCAGGCTTCTCAAGAAAGCACCTCCAATGAATTATATTCTGCTCAAGCCACCCGAGGGACTGCTCCTGCTCTTTCTTTTTAAAGTAAGAGTTACCCTTTTAACATGTATGATTCCTGTGTTGTTCATTGATTAAATCAGTGTGGGAGTGGCACACCCTTATAACTCCAGGGTTTGGGAGGCTGAGGCAGGAGGATTACGATGATTTCAAGGCTAGCCTGGGCTACCTAGTGAAACCCTGTCTCAAACAAAACAAAATCAAAGTTAAGAAAATAAGTCTAGACCTAAGAGTAGAGGAGAGACAGTGAATGCAGGAGAGGACAAAAGCTCCTGAATTTTCTTAAAAGGGAGGGAAATGGGTGAACTGGCTCAGAGGGTAAAATCTTTACTGAGCAAGCCTGATAATCTGTGTTCAATCCCTGGAACCATGGTGGAGGGAGAGACCTGACATCCCACGTTGTCCTCCACATGCATACATGGCATGCCCATACCTGGATACGCGTGCTCACATACACAAACCACACGCATGCAAATGCATTATACCACACAATGACAATAAAAATTTTAAGATGCCTTCCAGGTACAGGAAGGTCCTCTAAACTCAAGAAAGACTCTGATCAAAATCTAACTACTAGGTGACTGTCCTGAAAATATGCTCTTAGTTGTGGCTGGGGAGTCAAGGTATTGGAGGTAAGCTTCCTTATCCTTGGGACTGCTCAAGATATATTCTCTCTCTCTCTCTCTCTCTCTCTCTCTCTCTCTCTCTCTCTCTCTCTCTCTCTCTCTCTCTCTCTCTCCTCTCTCTCTCTCTCTCTCCCCCCCTTCCTTCTTTCCTTCCTTCCTTCCTTCCTTTATTTCTTTTTTTTTTTCCATTGAGTCAGGTTCTCTACATAGACCTGGCTATCCTGGAACTCACTATATAGACTAGACTGGCCTTGAACTCACAGAGATCCACCTATTTCTGTCCTCCAAGCACTGGGATTAGAAACTAGTGCCACCACGCCCAATATTTTGATTTGAAGTGTATGAAGACCAGGACACTACCAGCCTCAATTGGGAAAAGGCATGCTGCACTGCCCTCTTGTGACCAGCCTGGGGAATGACAGCCAGCTAGCTGCAAGCTAGGTAGGCTACAAGCTAGGGATCTCTGGAGAGAGGCACAGAAACCCTATACATCTTAATTAAGGCCAACTAAGCGCAAAGCCTACCCGGAACAGAATCCTTATTCTCTTCCTACACTTCAGTCTCTGCTTGAAAACATGATAAACTCCTCTGTGGTGAAGGAAAGATGATTAAGGATTTCTAAAGCACCTGGGTCTAAGACAAACAGTACCTTGTCCCTGAGAAACTGTGAGACCCTTAAAACTGCAGCTAGAACGTGAGCCATTGTGTCGAGAGGACCACCACACAGAAGGGCTGTGACGATGGACTATAACTTGAATGCGTTCACCACCACCTAGATCCAAGGCAAGGGGCAGGCTAGGCCTCCTGAAGAAGAGCCCCAGAAGCCTGGGTCCAGAGTCTGAATTCTTTGGAGGTAGCTGAAAGGCTTTAAAAACAATTTTAAGCTTATACTCTTAATTCCTTCTTGTGTGTGGGCAGGTGGATGCAGGCTGACGTGTGTATATGCAGGTGTGTATACGGAGGTGTGTATACGGACGGAGGTGTGTATACAGAGGTGTGTATACGAAAGTGTGTATATGGATGTGTGTGTATGGAGGTGTGTACAATGGAGGTGCGTATATGGAGGTGTATATAATGGAGGTGTGTATACGGAGGTGTGTATAATGGAGGT